TAGCCAATGAGGCTTCTGTGTGGGCATGGCCTTCTCCTGAGAATTATGGGAAATCTGGTATTTCCTCCTTGGAGGTGGGAGACTCTCTGCTCACACCCTGGGAGACATAGCAGCTGACAAGACACATGGACTCACCCTGATGCAGAGACCCCTGCCAGCGCTGAGATGTTTCCAATGTCACTGGATCCACTTTCTACCCACTGGCCTGTGATCTTCTACATTCGGTGTCATTACATGTGTTCCATGAGTCTGAAGAGGTCTTTATCAATTGGTATCACACATATGGGCTAATATCGGACTTATGGACTTGATCTGGACGGGGCTGGAATGTTTTCTCAATGTTCCACTCCTCTAGTATATAAAACTCTTTCTTATCCATATGCATGTTTATGAATTTGTTTCTCTAATCCATCCAGACTAACACACTAACCAGGCTTTGTAACCTTGCCTGGGCAAAGCAGAGGCCAGGCTGAGAGCTAGAGAGAGGTCTGCCTGTGGGCCTGACAGGAAGAGACTGTCCTGACTGACCAACTGCATCCTGTGCATTTCTCACCTGAACTTCCCTAATCAGAATTGAGAGTGTGGTCTGGGAGCGTTGTGTGGCCAATGCAGTGCATCATTGAACGCAGCTGAGAAGCAGACAGAGGTGTGGGAGGGACACTTGGTGTCAGCATTGGTAGGAAGGTGGCATATCTGACCTTCCAAAGGCAAACTCGCTGCCACCGACTCCTAGTGACCCTGTAGGACAGGGTAGAACTGCCCCTGTGTGTTTCTAAAACTGTAACTCATTAGGGGAGTGGAAAGCCTGGTCTTCTGTCTGAGGAGCAGCTGGTGATTTAAAACTGCTGACCTTGCAGTTAGCAGCCCAGCACATTACCCACTATGCCACGAGGGTTCCACGTTGGGCTCTGCTGCTGTGAAGTTAATTTCCCTTCCATTTGCATATAGCTGGAGGAGATCAGACTCTATACCCGTACATGACACAACAGGTTTTTTTTTTTCCCCCACACTGTCCCATTGCTCCTGTGTCACTTGAAAAAATCTTATGTCCTTGCTGTGATCCATGGAGTCCCATGTTATCTCCCTCTGCCTCTTTCCCTCTCTGAGCCTCTGCTCTACTCTTCCCCTCCCTTACACATACAGAGTAATGCCAGCGCCACCTCTCTGCCTAGAACTTAACCCAGGCCCTTTATACCTGCTACCTCTGTTAATCCAGAATGTCTTTCCCTCAGGTATTTACATAATGAACTCCTTCAGATCTTTACTTAAGAGTCATCTTTTCAGAAAAAACATGCTCCCTACCTAGAATCTCCCTCCCGACACCAAAATATCATTTCCCCTTCTGTGAGTACATTTGTCCTCTTAGTACATATAAACCAAAAGCCTGATCACACTGCCATTGAGTGGATGCCAACTCACGGGGGAGCTCTAGGACAGAGTGGAACTGCCCTTGTGCGTTTATGAAACCGCCCCTCTTTGAGAGGAGAAAATCCCATCCTCCCCCGCAGAGCAGCAGGTGGTTCTAATCAGCTGACCAAGCAGTTAACCGCCCGGCGTGTACCACTGCACCACCAAGGCTTCGGTGTTTTTTAATTACACTTACTCTTGTTTATTTTTTCCCCTCCAGATTCAAGTATAAATTCCATTAGGGCAGAGATTTCAGTCTTTTGTGTTAATGCCTGCGTCGCCTGATCCTAGAATAATGACTGCCACGTAGTAAAGCAATCAATACCTATGTGCTGAAGACCTGAATGGGGCGGGGTGGGGAGGTTAGAAAATTTCATGGAAATATGGGGTCAAAAGACAATGGGATGTTCCCATGAACTTTGCAAAGCCTCCTGATACATTTTCTGTCTGTATATTGAGCGACTACAATATGCTAGACATTGTGCTAAGCACAGAGGGGACAAAGGTAACTAAGACATGGTCCCTGTCCTTGCAGGGCTCATAACTGGTGAAAGCTTCATGCATGCTACTGTATTTGGAGCTGAAATTATCTATTCTTTCTCTCTCTCTCTCTCTCTCTCTCTTAGTCTGAGGTTGCGCGAATCCTATAGAAAGGGAGGTGATATAGGAGCAGGCTTCATATTTTAGAAAGCATATACCTTTATTATATCTACTGAAATCCAATTTAAATAATGGTGCAATTAAGTCAGCGCATCCAGGCATGTACTTTCCTCCATTTGGGTAAAAGTCAAGGTGGCCACAGGCATTTGTAGTCCCAATACCTGGAACAGATAAGAGCAGGGTAAGGAATCCCCCCAAAATCTTTGCATTCCTATGCAGTCTCTGTTTCTGTTAACAACTTACCCAACTCAAAGAATAAGCGAGCTGCGTTTGTGTGAATCACATCCACGAATTCAGCATCTGAGGGGTCCAGGCTGACTAGGTTAGGAGTGTTGTGGAAATAAGGCCCTGCTGGGTCCAGCCCTAGAAGAGAGGATCATGTCTATGAAACGGTGGTTAGCGCATGCTGTACAAGGGTCTGCTGGATTGGGAGGGTCCTTTGAAAGGATAGATGGTGAAGGCAAAGCATCTCTTCCCATGTAATTCAGGCAGAACAACGAATATATATATAAAATGAGGGGTCCAAAAAAAACCCAAACCAAAAACGGAAAAAGCTCTGCTGGGTGCAGCTTTTGTGAAATTTTGTTTCCTGTTCAGGAAAAATGCCACAGAAACTACTGTGATGTCGAACGCAGTTTACAAGGACAGTGCGATGGAAAAAACTCAAGTGTATGCGTGGTGTTTTTCTTGTTTCAAAAAAGGTGAAAGGTCAATTGTTGACAAACCTCGTTCTGGATCTCCATCAGCTTCCTGGATGGATGAAACTGTCAACTTGTAGTGCATTTGCAGGTTCGGAAAAGATTGCATGACAGTGTGCAACAAAAACGGCCTGATTTGTGGCAGACCGGGGACACCAAGACAGTGCACGTGCTCATGCAGTCATCTCGGTGTGCCAGTTTTTGCCAAAAAACACCATACCTCTCTTGTCCACCACACAGCTGAGGTGAGCACAGGTATTATGTGAGCCCAGAGGAGTGACGTAGAAGCTCGTCTAGAGGAATTCGGACATGTTTCTACTGGAGATGGGAACTAGAAGCAGAGATGGGAGGGGGCTAGCCAAAGTGAAGATCGGGGTAGGTCGATGCCGGGGAAACAAAAAGAGGGTACACGACTTCCCAGTGAAAGACTCTTTAAGCACATTGGGGAAACTAAGGCCGACACGTGGAGTTCCAGAATTTGGAGAAAGATGAAGAGAGTATTGTCCACCGGAGCCAGATGCAATCAGGTCCAGTCCGGAGTTAGAACTTGACCTGGTTGTCCATGAGAAGGTGTTGCATGTCTACAAGAGGAGGAGATCTTGAATCCAACTTGCGTTTTAGAAAAATCTCTTTGCTGTACTGTGGACGCTGGGCCCCAGAGCAGAGAGGACCTGGCTGCTGAGCTGCCCTTCTCAAATGTAACAAACAGGAGCAGAACAGACAGGCAGACCTCGCAGATTCAGCAGGCGCGGTCCCAGACCACTGCCATACGTGCCTATCACAAGGAGAAACACACATCTCTGGGTTCCCCAGTGCATGTAAGTTATGTGTGCACTGTACTGTAGTCTTAGTTAGTGTGCAATAGCGTGTTTAAACAGTTTGAAATAGCGCTGGAATGGTCACAAGCTGACACGAGTCAGGACATGAGCATATGCGCTTGGGTAAAGGGGACTGATACTTGCTCAGTGCAGGGTCACCACACACCTCCCATTTATAAAAATACAAAAGCAGCATCCATGACATACAATAAAATAAAGTGCAACAGAACCAGGTGTGCCTATAAATGTTTGGGCCGTGGTTGTGAGGTGTTGGCTGCCTTAGTGTACTTCCAGAACTTTAAACTCACTTAGATCATCTTTTAAACATTTTTTTAAACCTTCTTGACACTGAGTAGAGTCAGATTCATGATGGTCTGATACAGGGTTTCAGAGGCTGTAATTCTCTACAGGAGCAAGGTAGTTTTAGCTTCCTTCCTTGGGGCATTTGGTGGGTTTGAGCCACTGACCTTGTGGTTAGTGGTCAAATGCTTGCCCACCAAGCCATTGCCACCAGAACACCTCTCATAGGGTTCTTTGTTTTTGTTATTCTGACTGTCAACAACATTGGAAAAAATTCAGAGAATCGGTTGACAAGAGAAAAGGAGATGAGGGGAGAAGAAAGGATGGGGAAAGGGTACAGTGGATGGAAAGGAAGAAGAAGTAAAGGAAGGAAAGAGAAGTGGAGACCACAGATGGAATCTTTCAGAACCCAGCTGAAAGGAGGTCAGAGCAAAAGGACCCTACAAAGCAACTTGGAGCAAAGCAGTCGGAGAAAAACCAAATAGACTCCGATGTGGGACCATCAAAGCCAAGAAGGGAGAGCATTTCAATAGGTGGTGAGGTCAGCCTGGTCAAACCCTGTAGCAGGGTCAAGTAAGAGAGACTTAAAAGGTCGGCTTTGCTAGTCAAGGAGCCCAAGTGGTATAGGGGTTACAAGTTGGGCTACAATCCATAAGATCAGCAGTTCGAAACCACTAGCCACTCTGAGGGAGAAAGATGGGGCTTTCTACTTCCGGGTGGAGTTATGGCCTAGGAAACTTATCAGGGCAGTTCTACCCTGTCCTATAGGGTCACTGAGTCAGCATCAGCCCAATGGTAGTGAGTTGGGATCTTGGTTTTGTGTTAGTCACACTACAAAGCCATCTGCAGCGTTGGTTTCAGTCGATCAGTGGAGACAGAGACTAGACGGTGATGGAAAGAGGAGCCACTACACTTTGGAGCTGAAAGAAGAGCTGTCTGGAACCCCAGGTAAAGGGAGTATGGGGTCAGGGAGGAGTGGGCATGCTTCAATGGTAGCAAGTAGAACTGGTTAAAAAACAAACAAACTTAAAAGCTATTGTTGAAAAAACTGGAAGAGTGAAGCCCCTCAAGAGGAAGGGGATAAAAAAAAAGTAAAAAAAAAGAGGATAGGGGATTCAGAGTCCAGGGGATCAATGAGGTAAACACTGAGATGCAGCCGAGCCAGATAACCATGTGGAAAGCCAAAGCAAACTTGCTGGCATCGAGTTGAGGCTGACTCATCGCCTCCCTCCATAACTGGCAGACCTGCCCCTGTGAGTTTCCAAAACTCTACCTCTTTCTGGGAGCGAGCAGTCTCATCTTTCTCCCCAAACTGAAAACAGGGAGGAAAGCTGATTTCCCCATTTTTCTCAGGCTGATTTGTTGCACTTCAACACTTGGAAGATCTATTTTTTAATTGTTATTACTTCCATCTGGGTAGTGTGCAAGACGCGGATTAGATCATTCTGATGCAGTCAGGTCTGAGAGAGCACATCTAAGCATAGCAAGGGGATCCCAGACTATCCTGGTCCCAGGGCAAGAGACCTTCGGCAATAGCTCCAGGCTGCTCTCCGCCTTCGAAGAGACAGACAGGAATGAACATCTGTGGCTCTGAGATATTTCAGGAGGAGGGGCCACAGCAGCAGGGAAAACTAGAGGTGTCTCAGGATGGGGCTGCGGGTAACCCTCCTCAAACAGGGAAAACACCGCCGCTGTTTCCCGATAAAAGGAAATTTAAAAGCCACAATCACCCGAGGGGGCCGAATAACAGGGTTGTAGGTGAAGGGATAGAATGGGTGGTGTAAGATATGTATAAATAATAACAGTACATATTATAAGTAAGGGTTCTTGAGGGTGGCAGGGGAGGGGAGGGAGGGAATAAAGAGGAGCTGATATCAAAGGGCTCAAGAAGAAAGACCACCTTTTGAAACGGTTGATGGCAACATTTGTACATGTCCGTCTGATATAATGGATCGTTGTAAAATATGTAAGCGCTCCCAATGAAATGCTTTATTAATTAAAAAGAAAAACAAACTAGAGTCACCTGAGCCTCCCTAATGACTGCCCTTTATGAGGCCCGCCGACCACTTGTAAGTAATCAGGGACAGAGGTCTGTTGACGGCCTTGACGCGCGTCGGGTTCATTTTGCTTCTCAGTGGCTGTATTTGAAAGCGCAACTCTGACTTTTGGGGCCTCAGCTCTGCTGTGACTCAGGGCGAAGACCCCAAACCAAACTCACGGCCAGCGAGTGGACGCAGACTGGTCATGCCCACGTGGGTTTCTGAGACCGCAGCTCTTCGTGAGAACAAGATGATTCAAGAACCAACTGCCTGAAAGGGCCCATAAATGACATTTATAGTCTCTGGACCTCCACGGAGCCTTTTAAAGATCTCTTCTATTGGCCCGACAGGCTCATTTGACCGACTGGAGTCAAAAAAAAAAAAAAAAAAAGGAGGGGGGTTAAGTCGTCTCTGGTGCGTGGAATAAGAATGAAGGAGCGCAGAAGCTCTGCGAGTTTGTCGAGACTGGGCATGCGCTTTGAAACCTTGCTGGTCGCCGTTTCCCCTCTCGTTGAAGCTCAAGTGCCTCCCAGGCTGCACGTCACCACTCCCATCTCCCACACCAGGTGCCAGCTTCAACAGTCGACCGTTTCTTCTGTCCCCTGGGCTTGAACACTCGGAGCCAAAGGGGAAACTCCGGCACCCAGGGCAACTCAGGGCAAAAACATGATTTTCTGCTAATTTAGAATGACGGGGGATTGGGAGCCGTCAGCTGGAAGGAAGGACGAGAGGCCTTTCCAGCACAGGAAGCCTGCCTCCCGGAGCTGGCCGAGGCAAGACAGGTGAGTCTCATTTGGTGTCCTTCTATCGTTTTAGAAAAATAAGATTCTGAAGTTGAAAAATGGGACTCAAAGCAATACTCACACGTCTGCAGGTCGTGGGTTTAACCAAAGGACAACGTGCACGTACGTGGTAGAGCGGAGGGTCAGTGCCAAAGAGCAGGACCCGCGATGAGATGAATGAACTCCCTGCCTGCCACAGGGGGGTCTCCAGCTGGGCCATGATTGTGAAGATGGGGCAGGGCGGGCAGGGGTGCAGCTCATGCTGCTGCACCAAGCCCAGGGTGGGTATGGGATACAGGAGGCTCTTGAGTACTTCGTAGTCCATTGACAATTACAGGCATATAAATAATGATGAGACCATGTGATCTTTGTCTTTCCCAAATCCACTCGAGGCAAATTACAAAGAATGAGATAAATACAGAGAGTTAACGTTGCTTGGGGAAGAAGTATTTGCCAAGAATCTTGAAGGAGGAACAAGAGATGTTTAGGGAGAGGGGCAACAACCTGTGTAAAGGTTTAAAAAATAAGAAAATGTATGACGGAACATGAATTGCCTAACGTTTGCCTGATAAGGAGACTAGATTTTTGGTAAAGTGGGACACCATTGATAAAACTGATATCCTTTAAAAAAAACAACCAAAAACTGATATCCTGGCGAAATAGCCACATGGCAGCCAGAAACCGTATACCCTAGCTTGTCGTGCATTGTTTCCAAAAATTGGGACTTTAAAAAAATGCCACGGGACACGGGAAAAATTGTTCAAAATCAGGACTGTCCCACCAAAAGCGGGATGTCTGGTCACCTTAGCCTAACAAGCTATAAGCTGTCGTGAGAAGTCTTGAGCAGTGATGTGAGACAGTCTACATTTGGAAGGATGATCTTGGCAGCCATGATGATATGAGAGATGCCTGGGAGAGAGATGGACCGGGCATAGCAGCCAGGGGCCTGGCCAAAGCCCAGCAGAGTTTGGCTGGTGACCAAGGACTGGGGAGACCCAAAGAAGCCCGGTTTGCTGCTAATGGAGCAGCGATTTTGATCTTCACCTGTCAGACTCCCGAGGTTTGGAAATCAGAGTGCAGGGAAGAGCCCTGCTTAATCACCATCCTCACAAAATTCAGCCCATATATAGTTTACTCCACAGCAAACTGATTTCTAGACCGTGTAGTATATCCGGAAGTAATATTTGAAATTTTAATTTCAAATGATGCTGGGCATTTCCACTCAGCAACACCAGTGCACTCTGGGTCAGCTCCAGGCCAGGTTGCCACGGACATCTTTCTGGGTCAGTCAGTGGGGCTTGACTTTGTGTTAGAGAAATGCTATTTTCAAAGTCAAAGGAGGCCTGCTAACGCATTGGGTCAGCACTTAGTTGCTGGCTGGAAGATCAGTGTGTCAAATCCCCCATCAGCTGCTCGGAAGAGAAAGATGTGGCCATCTACTTTATAAAGATTACAGCTGTAGGAACCCTATGATTCTATTTGCTCTATTCATTAGAACATGTAGAACATTCTAGAATCTTCTATTCATTCTACAGGATGGTATCAATCAGAATGGAGCCCATGGGAGTAAGCTAAGTTTGGGGTTAATTTCAAAGCCTGGGATATGTCATCATTCATTCAGCCTGCCCCTGTAGGAGACATGGTTACGTTATTTTCCATCATTGACTGGCTGTCTGCAGCGGACACCCTTGAACGTGTATGTGCACTGTCACCTTTGAAAAACCTTTCCTTTATTTTAAATGAGTCTTACATGTGCTTCTGCTACTTCATTTGGTGACAGCTGTCCAGACACTGGATACGGTGCACAAACAAAGCAAGTAGACAAATGCAAGGTCTGCTTACCAGTGATCCTTCCGAGACCTGCTATTCTTGACCCGGCTTCCCCCGCCAGATGTGCTCCTAAGCTGTGGCCAATCAGGTGCACTTTAGAAGGCGAATATCCAAACTTTGTCTGAGAGAGGTTTGCGAAGGAAGACAGAGCAAATATTCTTAGAAGAGCAGGTGGAATGGCTTAAATACGCTTAAGTACAACAGCCACAACAAACCTCCCATGCTTGTCTGTTTCACACACAGGGTGGGACCAGAAAAGTGACAAAGTAAAACCTCTTGCCCCTAAATTCTCACCCAGCTTCAGGGGTGAAAAACTTTCCTGTGCGCGTGGACCTCACGGTTCTCAGGAACATCCCAACCACCAGCTGCCATGGCTTCAAGCCTTGTGCCCCTCCTCCCTAAGGAGCAACCCTTCCTGCATGGGCCCTCAGAAAGCACACAGCCATGTTGTTAGCCCTTCAGGCTAAGGCAGCTCTAGGAAAGTTCTGGGACATCTGTGATCTTAAGAGGAGGGTTTTGAAGCATATTTACAAGGAAACATATGTCTTAGCCATCACTGTCTATCAGTTCGTTGTACTGTAGTGCCTGCGTGCTGCTGCGATGTCGGGAGCCGTGTCACTGATATTTCAAATACCATAAGGGTCACACAGGACGAACAGGAAGCAGTGGAGCTCCCAGTTGACAAAGAAGGAATAGGCTGTCCGCTTCTGAGGGATTGGCCACTGAACATCTTATGAAGAGCTGAGGAGCATTGTCAGATAGAGTCCTGGAAGCTGAGACCCTCTGGTGTCAATGCTCTCAAAATACGACTGAGGAAGGGCTCCCTTCACAAGCGGAGTTGACCATCATGCTGTGGGGGTTTGGGGACCTTCATTTGCTGGTGGAGTAGTGGTAACACATTGGGCTCTGATCATCATGGTCGGCAGTTTGAAACCACCAGCAGCCATGTGCGAGAAAGACTGTGATTTCTACTCCCGTAAACAGTTTCAGTCTTGGAAACCCTCAGGCGTCAGCATTGACTCGGTGGCACCCGTCGACGGTAGCCTCAAATCTCATCCCACGGCCCTGGGTTTTCTTAGCAGCACTTGCCGCCAGCAGATGCTTGTTTACTTATTCGTGTGCTTGCTTCCGTTCCATGCTCTGTTGCTGCAGGGACTCTGTCCTGTTCACAGTAGTAGCCTCAGTGCCTGCCTGGGGCAAGGGCTGAGGAAGGGCTTTGTTTAATGAACTACCTGCCCCAGGACCTTTAAGGTCATAGGTTCTATTTCACTATATTGCATGATGGAAATTAACTTGCTATAATGGAAGAGCATTTGGGGATATGTCAGGGTCTTAGGGCATATCCCTCATAAATGACAAAGCTCTACTTGATTCTTCTAGAGTAGCGGTTCTCAACCTGTGGGTCGCGACCCCTTTTGGGGTTAGACAACCCTTTCACAGGGGTTACTGAAGACCATATTTCTGATGGTCTTAGGAAATGAGACACCACTCCTCTATCCGGCTCCAGGCGGGTCCGCCCACATGCAGATACGCCCACATACGAGTACCCTGCGTGAAGACTGTTACCCATGCTACACCATGCTTCAAGACAAAATTTCATTTATTTGTCATTAGAAGTAAATATTTCACAATCTAGACTTACATATTGTTTTTGTGATGAATCACTATGCTTTAATTATGTTCAGTTTGTATCAATGAAAATACATCCTGTATATCAAATATTTACATGATGATTCATAGCAAAATGACAGTGATGAAGTAGCAACGAAAATCATTGTATGGTTGGGGGTCACCACCACAGGAGGAACTGTATGAAAGGGTCTCGGCATGAGGAAGGCTGAGAACCCCTGTTTTAGAGTATGTGTTGGGTAAATACTGTACTTGTTTCTGGTTTGGCCTATTAAAAGTCATCGCCTTTCAGTTGATTCTGACTCTTAATGACCCTGTAGGACAAAGTAGATAGAACTTTCCTATAGCTTTGCCAAGGCCCTAAATCTTTCTGGAAGCAGACCACCACATTGTTCTCCAAGAGTGGATGGTGGGTTAGAACCAGGGGCCTATTAGTTAGCAGCTTCGTCCTTAACCATGGGCCGCCAGCCCTCAGGACTGTGAGACATCTCATTTTGTTTTCTAGAGAACTAGCATCTATAAGGGGAGCAGTTTATAATTATAAAGACAGGCTCACAGTGTGCTGGAAATGGACCAAAAGGGTTCTACCCTCAGGCCACAGCCCTTGGGGGGACTGCTTGGTGATGAGCCTGTGAATAGATACTGCCATCTAGTGGTGTTGTGTTCAGGCACAGGCACGTAGTCCATACAAAAAACCAAAACCCAAACCAAGCTCAAAGCCATCCATGGATACGGACTCATGGTGACCCTCTAGGGCAGAGTAAAACAGTCCCTAGGGGTTTCAGTGACTGTAACTCTTCATGGGAGTAGACAGCCTCCCCTTCGTCCCACCAAGGAGGTGGTGGTTTCGAACTGCTAACCTTGGAATTTTCCCCCCAAAGTGGAGTGGTGACTCCACTTCTTCTGTAGGAAGACGTAATGCCCGTTGGCGCTACTTGTCTTAGAATTTCGCAAGTTTAGTACTTGCCCAGTCATGCAAAACATACAAAATTGCCAGACATTCTAGCAGTTACCATTCAAAGCCAGTTACTTACAATTTCAGTAAGAATCAACTCTTCTTACCTCCAGAATACTGACCAAATAAGCCACCTCGGCCGCGACAACACGGAGGTTGTTGATAGCATGGATGTACTGCAGCGAACCATTGATCCAGTCTAGGTTAATGCAGTTCACATCTTCCACTTGGAGTAACACCTAGCCCAGGGATTTATCGCAGCCGATGGTGGGGGTGCAATGGGAAAGAAATGAGTCTTTGTATACACAAGTGTCGAGACCACTGAGTCCGTAATAAGAAAGAACACCTGCTGGCATTATTTGAGACTTTGCCAAATAAAAAGGTTCTGTTCAAACCATTTTACCCATACTGGCTGATTGAATCATCACAACCATTCTAGGAGCCGGGTGTTATTGATTGGTATCTTCAATTTACAGATAAAGAAACTGTGGCACAGATCAGGCAAAGTAGCTTGCCCAAGATCACAAAGCCAGTCGAACCAGGGCATGAGTTCAGACAGCTGGCAGAACAATCTGGTTTTGGAGGTAATTAATTTCTTGCGATGTTATCTAGATAGCAATCTTGAGTTCAAGATAGAAGGAATGTCCTGGAGCGAGCTTGGGGAATTGTTTCCCTTACATGAAATGACAAATGGATCCGGCTGCTTAAGCCTTTGTCAAAGGTAAGACTTTATCAGAATTGATTATGAAAAGCTGCAGCCATCAGCACCTGTGTAATTCATAAGAAATGAACGGAATACAGCCGGGTTATTAAATGGATGCGCAAGCGTGGATAATACAGATCACGTCATGGAGGCGCCCCGTGAGTATGGTTAGTACCTTGCAAAGTACATGCGTGTTACACACAAAGCTTTCCCGTTAGCGTAAAGGAGGCTTTATTCACGTCATACATTGCACATGTGCCTCTGCCATTTGCCATCGGTTTTCCACCCAGGAATGTTGATCCGAGTCCTCTTGTGTATTCCAAAATGGGAAGCTTGGATAGTTGAATAATTAACTGCGCTGATCTCCTGTTTCAAGTGAAGAGAGGTGAGGATAAAGCGATGGTGGAGACCATTAATCATTAGGAGAATGAGTTCAAAGATAACTCAAAAGTCTTTCCTGACACTGGATTTTGTAGCCATCTTATTTTTTAATACTTTTATTGGGGGCTCTTACATCTCTTATCACAATCCATACATTCCTCCAATGTGTCAAGCACATTTTCACAGATGCCGCCACCATCATTTTGAAAGCATTCTCTTCCCACTTAGGTCCCTGATATCAGCTCCCCATTTT